GTTGATCCGGATAGATACGAGGCAGATCCGGTCATTGTGGTGACGCGTTGGGCTTTTACAAGGATCTGCCATACCGAGCTGGACGTGCCTCATGAAGTACTCCGAGAGATGCGAGACTTATCCGGAAGGGTTTCCCAAACGATCTTAAACTGTGTCCGGGAGTCAGTCGGCTTGCCTAAACAGTCTTAACGTGTTATGTACAGAAGTATATTGTGTTACGTGGTGGTTGGTAGATTAAGTGTCTCCCGGACGCAGCTTAGGATCGTATCGGCGACTTGACCTGATCGATCACGCATGTCTCGAAGTGTTTGCGTGGGTGCATAGAAATCTGTACGACAGATACGAGTGAATGTCCAGCGAGTCAGGACGACCACACTGTCGTTACTTTCCTCTTCAGATGACGTGTGTCCGCAAAGATCATCAACGTCAATCTCCTTCCTCTTGTCTTTACAAGACGTCAGTAGCACGGTTGATACTGCGTCACGTCGGATACATTCCGTTGGGCGATACGGGAATCGATCGTCTTTATCGACGTAGTCTACCGCTGCAACAGCGTACGTATCGCTGTCCTTATCACCAAAAACGAGCTCTGAGAAGTGGACGAGATTGTTCTCAACTAGTAAACCAAGTGTGGACTGGGTTACCAGGCTCATCTGGGAGAAATCGTCGATGTCGTCCATATTGTCGTCTTCACGGACTGTGATATTGCCCGAGGCTTCGGATAGAACGATCTCGGCGTTGAAGATTGCTAGCTTAAGAGCTTCAAAAACGGCGCGTACACCTCCTCTGACGCCGTGTAGACACGTCCGGTCGAAGCGTACGTTGCAGAAATCTCCCTCCGGTGTCTCGTATCGCTCTTCGTTAAAATATTCTGCAGTGGGGTGGAGTCCTACACTGCGCTGTTGAATGAACTGCCTTGCGTACTGGAGTTTCGATGGTCGTAGGTTTCGTAGCGTCTTGCATCGATGAGTTTGATTTGTCGGTAAATAAATGTACGACTCGGTCGGACGAATTTTGTACGACTGATGTTGTGTACAGTTAGTGAGCATTGCCTGCGCCTTAGCTGCCACTAATTGATGTTCCAGTACAGCATCTCGCAGGGCGGAATTGTGCATCGTTTGCTTGTTAAGTGAAGCATCTTCTTCGCCATTCTGGATCAATACTCGAAGTTTGAGTGTGTCCAGCTTGGACTGGAGCTCCTGTATCTCCGTCTCCAGCGCCAGCCTCTCTTCTTTCCTCACTGTGTGCGTCGACTTGCGCTTCTTGTATACACGCTTCTTCTTCGGCGGCCGCGCAGAGTCATCAGACTGGTCTTCCTCTGCAGCTCGAGTAGCTACGGCCACTAGAGTCTGCAGGTCACCGCACAATGCAATTGTAGGGCCCTCTAGAACTCTGTCACTTGCCATTTTCAACCTTACGCAAAAGAGAGAATGGCGTCATCCCCATTACCATCATGACGGGCGTGTTTTACGCACTCCTAAAATCTGCATAATACGAAAAGTACAGTGAATAAAACTCTTCAACACGCCAAAAAAAAAAAAAAAAAAAAACAATGCATCCCTCGTTTGGAAACAATGCATCATTCAGCCGAACATGGTACGTTCGTGTTTTTTTACCGCGTTTGTATTCTGTTGAATGCTAAGACGATTTACGTACGACGGTCTCGCGCACGCAGTTTAAGAGCGTATCAGAGACCTGACCTGCTACATCTCTCATCTGTCGGAGAACTTGACTCGGAACGTTCAACTCAGTCCGACAGATTCGAGTGAACGTCCAGCGAGTTATAACCACAACAGTATCGCTGTCCTCTTCCGAGGCGGGTCCACCTTTCCTTGCGGTGCTTTGTGACGTGGCCATTACGATGGACATCGCATCACGACGAATACGTTCGTGTGGACGATACGGGAAGCGATCGTCTCTGTCGACGTAGTCTACCGTGGTGAGAGCGTAGCTGCCATTTCCCTCTGCTGGAGAAAACTCTGAAAAGTGGACGAGGTTGTTCTCGACGAGTAATCCACTCGTAGTGTGCGCTACCAGTCGCAATTGGGAGCCGCCGATATCGTCATCTTCTCGGATTGTAATATTGCCCGAGGCTTCAGAGAGAATGATCTCGGTGTTGAATACAGCAGTCTGTAGAGCTTCATACACGGCACGCACTCCACCTGAGACCTTCAGAGATGTCCGATCAAAGCGCACGTTGCAGTAGTCCCCTTCTGGCGTATCAAAACGCTCTTCATTAAAGTAGTTGGCGGTGGGATGAAGACCAAGGCATAGCTGCGTGATGAACTGTCTAGCATAGTAGAGCTTCGGTTCTCGTAGGGCTTTCATGGCCTCCTGTCGAGTGGTTGGATCGGCTGGTAGGTGAATATACATTTTCGTTGGGCGCACAGCAGTAGAACCCGTTAGCATTGCACGGACTCGAGCTACAGCTAAATGCTGCTCCTGGATGTTATTCCTCAGCACTGCATTACATTTGAGCTGTCTGTGGAGTAAATGGTCTTCTCCGCCTTGTTGTAGCAAAGTCTTAAGCTGGAGGACGTTAATCTTGGCCATCAAGCCCCTGATTTGAGACTCTAAAGCCATTTTCTCCTCCTTGCGGATAGCGTATGTCGTTTTTCTTTTCTTGTAAATGCGCTTCTTCTTCTCCTTTGGTTGTACTTCAACGTCAGCATCACGTTCAGTTATGCTGTACTCGTCGATGAATTCTGGGACTTCGTCGTCTTCACATGACTCAAATGACAGGCGCTCGTGATCGTTTGATGAAACCCAACCGTCCGGAGTGTTCATTGCGAGAGGCTTTACACAGTGAGCAGAAGAAAGTTGAGGTGAAGCGTACCGTAATCACGAAAAGAGACTTACGCTACGCCCTCCTTCGATTGTGAAAATATGAGGCGGGGAGGCTTGCGTCGAGCCGCTCGAGTCACTCTCACGCTTGCACTTGACGTTAACAGGCCAGAGGTTAAGTTTTTCGCATCACGTTAGCAATATTGGAAGACTCAGCCACGGTATGACGAGCAGCGTTTTGCTGCGCTATAGCTAACGGGGTAGATGGGGGGGGACCTATTTTTGATTGGGCTATGTACATTTCGCAGCTCTTTGT